TATCTAGATCATTTGAATGGTTTCATCTATTGTGGAAATAAGCCATTAAATCCATTTTCCTGGTAGAAACTGTAATATTGATTATTGGTCTATTATCCACCTAAAATGAAGCTGTCACCAAATGGTAGAATGAGATGTCAATGCCCATTTTATTCATGGCTTTCCAAACTCAAATGGAATAAAAAAAAGAAAAAAGGTGAAGAACTTTTTTTTTCTTTACATCAGCCTTCTCTCATTTTCAGTAAATAAGGTACTAAGATATAAGAAAACAATTTTGGAAGGAAAAAAATCACTTCTCAAAAGCTTTCGAGGCCGGCGCCGGGGCTCACTAGGCTAATCCTCTGCCTTGCGGCGCCGGCACACCAGGTTCTAGTCCCGGTCGGGGCGCCGGATTCTGTCCTGGTTGCCCCTCTTCCAGGCCAGCTCTCTGCTGTGGCCAGGGAGTGCAGTGGAGGATGGCCCAAGTGCTTGGGCCCTGCACCCCATGGGAGACCAGGAGAGAGGCACCTGGCTCCTGGCTTCAGATCAGCACGGTGTGCCGGCCGCAGCGAGCCGGCCGTGGCGGCCATTGGAGGGTGAACCAACGGCAAAAAGGAAGACCTTTCTCTCTGTCTCTCTCTCTCACTGTCCACTCCGCCTGTCAAAAAATAAATAAGTAAATAAAAAGCTTTCTATATAATAAATCAAAAAGTGGAAAAGTGAAGTCCGTGGTAAAACAAAAAAGGCAGAGGTGCATCTGAATCAATTATCACTAGAAAGCAACTAGAAATTAAATCAGTGTCTGCAAATAACTACAATTTAGTTTTGTTCAAACTGTGAAAACCTTCTAATCTATTTTATTTTTCTGGACCTTACAAGTAGAAGCAATTTATCACTATATTATTATTATTATTATTATTAGGGAGGCAGAGAGACATTCACCACCATTCACTTGTTCATTCTTCAAATGCTCACAATGGTTGGGACTGAAGCCAGGAGCCAGAAGCAATCCAGGTCTCCCACATGGGTGGCAGGAATCCCATTGTTTACGCCATCACTGCTGCTTCCCTGGGTCTGCATTGACAGGAAGCTAAAGTCAGGAGCCAGAGCTGGGAATTGTACCCAGGAACTTCGATGGGGGATGCAGGCATCTTAACCACTAGGATAAACACCCATGCCAGCAATAACAATTTAAAATATGAAATGAAAAAAAAATATGAAATGAAAATGTTTCCTTCACTCATTATAGACAACAGTCAATGCTTGTTTTACTGTCACATAAACCCTTAACAGTTTCAGCAGTCTCATCCTCATTGAGTGTTTTGCCAATTACCTAACCCTGAGGAAAACTAATACTGTTCTCTAGGAGCACAGACCCAACTAGATGCTTCCAAATGCCTATATCACCTTAGGGGCATGAAGCCTTCTCTTTTCAAGGCCTTTCCATTGGAGTACCAGAATATGAGGACTGAGTCACATAGACAGGAAGTCAGTCAATGTTCCCCTAAACTGAATGGAAAGTAGCAAATCAGTTGCTGCTATGTGCAGGCCGAACACGATCAATTAAGGTACATGATCACTAACTTTCAAAAAAATAATTACAGGAATTTTAGTAAAACTGACAAGTGTAACCAAGTATGTGTCCCTCTATATGGTAGTGATTTTTTCAAGAAAGGGAAGAACGGGGTCACATCTTTCCCTGTGCCCTCCCTCTGGTGCCTTTGTTTTAGTGTACCCTACACATAAAGAAATAAAATCATATTTTTATAAAAATTATGTTTTAGAGGCAGTCATTGGGGCACCAGTGGTTAAGCCCAAGCCAGGCTGAACATCCCATATCATGGTCTGAGTTTAAGTCCCAGCTTCACTTCCAATTCAGTTTCCTGCTAATGTACGGCCTGCAAAGCAGCAGGTACCAGCTCAAATACTTGGGTTCCTACAATCCACACAGTGGTTAAGCCCAAGCCAGGCTGAACATCCCATATCATGGTTTGGTACCAACTGTTGTGAGCATTTGGAAAACGAACCAGCAGATAGAAGTTCTCTTTCTCTCTCTCTCCCAGCTCAAATACTTGGGTTCCTACAATCCACATGGGAAACTCTGATGGAATTCCTGGCTTTTGCCTGGTTTGGTACCAACTGTTGTGAGCATTTGGAAAACGAACCAGCAGATAGAAGTTCTCTTTCTCTCTCTCTCTCATTCTGCCTTTCAAATAAAAATAAATTTTTAAAAAATTTTATCTTTTTTTTTTTGCTTTCAAACTTTTATTTAATGAAT